AAAATAGATCAGCCCTTAACTGAGCAGATGACTAAATTAGCCATTCTAAGCACCAATCCACACTATCCCATCTTGCCTTATATTAAAGAGAGCAATTAGTAATGTTTTTCCCATCTGCAAGGGATCATTGGTGGGAAGGAAAATAAAGCCAGTTGATTCTTTTTAAACTTACCTACACTGCGGACACTATCATTCTCTGTTCCCATTACTTAAGATAGCGATAACTACTGTTTCCCTGAAAATAAGACCTGGTCTTATTTTCTTTTAGGCCCCCAAATAAGCAACAGGTCGTATTTTCAGGGGATCTTTCCCGCTTACCTTAGGACCACCTCCCATGCCCTGACACCTGTCACATCAATGCCTGATTTCTTCTATATGGCATGTTGTGCCATTGCATAAATGGTGGCACTTGGCCTCCTGCGAGCACCACCACCAGTGTGGCATGATGTGTTGCCTCTTGCTGCGAGCAGCAGCACTGGTGTGATGCAACACATGGCGTCCAGCCATGAGTGGCCAAAGTCAGGTAGCACTGCAACAGGTGTCAGAGTGTGGAAGGCCTGGCTGTGGTGGTCCTAAGGTATGCAGGTGCAGGGTGTGTGGGACTGCTTCACCACCACCCCATCTTGATTTTTACACATGCGTCTCACCTTACCTTATACAACCAGAAGGTGGGATGTAGTGGGCGGAGTCTTAACTAGAACTTATTTTTTGGGTAGGGCTTATATTAGATGTTAAAATTCAAGCTAGGGCTTATTTTCAGGATAGGTTGTATTTTTGGGGTAACAGAATTACTATATAGCAACAAAAACTCTTTTACAAAGTAGTTGTCTGAATTTGTACAGCCTAAAGCTGATGGCTCTAAGTAAACCCAATCAAACAACTGAGAATTCAGATGTAGGCTTATAGCGCTTGGAAAGCATGGCTTCTCCTGACTTGGGATGTCATGTTTCTGTAATAAGTATCTCCAGCACTGTCTATGGAAATTCTCAAGTCATCACTATCCCAAGGTGCTTTTTCAAAAAGCAATTGGATTTTCTTTGTTTTTCCTTGAAGATATTTCAGTTCTCATCCAATAATTAATTAGATGCTTTTAATTAAGTGCTTCCCTTTCATGGGCTACTGCCTTATTGTGGCAAAGGAGCTTGCATAACTCAATGAAGCTATGGCTATGCCGTGCAGGGCCATCCAAGATGGACAGGTCATAGCAGAGTTCTGACAAAATGTAATCCACTGGAGAAGGAAATGGCAACCCACTCCAGTATCTTTGCCATTAAAACCCCATGAACAGTACCAAAAGGCAAAAAGATATGATGCTGGAAGATGAGCCCCTCAGTGTCCAATATGTTACTGGAGAAGAGCAGAGGGCTAGTACTAGTAGCATCAGAAAGAGTGAAGTGACTGGGCAAAGCCAAAAGGACGCTCAGGTATGGATGCATCTGGTGGTGAAAGGAAAGTCCAATGCTGTAAAGATCTATTCTTCATAGGAACCTGGAATGTAAGATCCATGAATCCAGGCAAGCTGGACATGGTCAAACAAGAGATGACAAGACTGAACATCGACATCTTAGGAATCAGTGAACTAAAATGGATAGGAATGGGTGAATTTAATTCAGATGACCATCAGGTATACAAGGCGATCAAACTGGTCAATCCTAGAGATCAACCCTAACTGCTCTTTAGAAGGCCAGATCCTGAAGATGAAACTCAAATACTTCGACCACTGGAGAAAGGCCTAATGCTGGAAAGACTGAAGGTAATACAAGAATGGGATGACAGAGAATGAGAAGGCTGGATCGAGTCACTGAAGCAGTAGGCGTGAGCTTAAATGGACTCCAGAAAATGGTAGAGGACAGGAAGACCTGCAGGAATGTTATCCATGGGGTCATGATGAGTTGGACACAACTTCGCAATTAACAACCAACTACATGCTTCTGTCCGGTAGGATGGATTACTTTCCTTCTTTGGCCAATTAGGGCCCTGCCTGCTTTGTTTGAATAAGAAAAAAGATTAAAAAGGCTTTCCTCATTGGTCACTTTGTTGTTGTCTATTGGTTGCACAGCCACATCAGTTGCATCTAACAGAATTAAATTACTCTAAATGAATGCCATTCTTTTAAAAACTAATAGGTATAATGCTTGGAAAACAAGACATCTTTCTGAGAGTTACCGTGTACTTACTGTGTTTTTTCCTGCTATAATCCCTTCTTACACAAAGCTCTGAAAGAATGTTTTAGCTAAGCCAGGAAAAAATTGTTTCCCAATCCACTTAATAATTTAATTGACAAATTAAATCAAATGTATGATGGGGCTACCAGAACTAAACTGCCAAAATCTAGAAAGCTACTAAATGGCATCAAAATGATTACAACTTTCTGGACAATTTTGTTTTCCTCTAGTGGTCATCTGGATATTTGCAGCCGAGATCTTTACCTCTATTATGAAGTGACAAAAGAATTAACTGAAATTTCTACTGGGTAATGTTTTCCCCAATGAATAAAATATTTTATTTAGTGTATGACATACAATGACAGGGAAATTTATAAATGCTAGACATTGTGCAGCCCTGACAGTGTAGGTTAGTTCATTCTGTTCAGCACTTGTATGACAATCACTGATGCACTGGGGTGGGAGCAAACTACGGTAGCTTTACACCAGCTAACTAGCAGTGCTCAGGTTGCTGGCTCTTCTGGGCTCCTTCACTGGTCTCACCTTGCCTCACTTCATGTCATATTGCCTCACATTCAGCCAGATCCAATGCTGGCTTCCACACTCTACCCCCCCCCCCCCAAAAAAAAACAAATACAGCTAGATTTTTCCCACTGAAGTGGTACCCATTTATCTACTTGCAATATTGCTTGCTTTCAAACTGCTGGCTGGGAAGGAGCCAGGGAATGAATGATGGGAGTGGATTTGAACCATTGGAGTGCAGACCATTTCTGGACAATAATTCCAGAGTCATTACATCATTGCATCCCCATAAAGGGAGATGATGACAGATGGAAACAATCCCCAGAATTCCATAATCTTGTAACTTCAAAAAAATTTTTGGCATAAGGCTAGCACCAGGGCAAACTAAATCACCAAGTTTTGTATCTTTCCCAAAATGCCTGGTTACAATTTGTTTTCTGCTATCTAGTCAGCATCCTTACTTCACAAAATGCTGTTAATAGAATTAGTAAAAAGGTTGAATAAAACTTGGCAAGCAGGCTCTCTTTAAAGTTGAGTTGAATCTCCCATTACTATTGTGTGCTTCCTGCACACCTTAGTTGATTAGCAAAACATTTATTTTCTTTTTTGGTTTATCTGTAGTATGCACTTATGTCATTGTCATTATTTTTTTCTTTTATTTTAACCCAGTTGCATTCAAGGTTTCAATTTTTTCCATTCCTAGAGGTGTGTGTGTGTGTGTATAATTAGATCAATTTCTTTCGAACAATTTAAATTCCTCTAGGCTGTATGTTCCAGTCATAGGTTTCACTGTCAAGTTTTAGTAATGGCTACAATGTCATAACTGCCCTTGTATAGTACTTCAAGTCCACCATTTCTCATATGTTATGCGTTAGTGTATAGACATCCAAGTCCCTTTTGACTGATCCTGTATTTGCTTCCTACATCTGTTTTGTATCTGAATTCCTATTCTTTTAGACTTGGTTGATTTCCCTGAGATTTATGCTTGGAATTAGCTTCTAAAAGTTCATCTCCCTCTCCTTTCCGTTTTAGTTTAAAGCCTTTTGGATACAATGAACCAGTTGGTTTCCAAAGTGTTCTTCCTGGTTATTGTGAGGTGCAGTTCACTCCCTGCCAAATATTGTAGATTGGGTATCCAAAGTTTTATTGATGGCACTATCTACTGCATTCCCTCATTGGATGCCTCCCTCTTGTTGAGAATACAGAAGAAAATACCACTACCAGAAAGCCATCTTTTTAGCTTTCATGCCTAATTGTTCATAATCTCTTCATATTGTTTTTAGGTTCTTTGTTGTATCAATCATCCACACATGAACGGGGAGAAAGGGACAACAAACTGTGGACTTTTACATTTTCAACTATTGCGGTTTCATTTTTAGCTGTATACTTTAACATATTTTGTTCTGGAAAATAATTACAACTCAAAATTTATTGTAAGCTTTTGGGAAAACATGATGTCACATAACAATAAATATGGATTTGAGAATGTAACAAGGGAAAAATTAAAATGAAATTCAGGAGCAGATATATCAGCAAAATTGCACATTTAAGTTTTTTAAGATAAGATTGATAATATTCTTGTGTCATATTAACTTCTCTCTGCCCCCATTAGTCAAATTGAATTCTGAGAAGTTTCTTAATTTAAATTAATTTAATTAAAAAAAAAATCTCTAATAAATGTGTGTCCTTCTCTACTAGATATTTGTTGTTTTTCTCTAGGGAAAGCACTATGGCTCAGTGCTTAAGACTCTGGGCTTGTCAGCTGGATAGTTGGTAGCCCGGGTTCGAGACCCAAGCTCCATGTGACAGGATGAGCTCCTGTCCTCACTTCACTGTATGCTTTCGAACTACCAACCTAGCAATTTGAAAGCATACAAGTGCAAGTAGATAAATAGGTACCATTTCAGTGGGAAGCTAACTCCAGGTATTCAGCAGATTCTGACCAGTTCTGGAGAACCGATAGTGGAAATTTTGAGTAGTTCGGAGAATCGGAAAATACCACCTCTAACTGCAGATTTTACAGTATTCTTCCCCTGCCACGCCCATCAAGCCACGCCCACAGAATGGTAATAAAAAAAAATTGAATCCCACCACTGGCTAACTCCATGACGTCATGCTGTGGAATGTCTTCAGACAGAACTGACTCAATGGCCTTAAAATGGAGATGAGCACCTATAACTGGCTATTACTAGCAAGGTTATACTATATCCACAGGAACTCCTTTATGTATTTTTGGACATTTTTTTGATGATGGGTGTAAGGTGTTGTTTTGAAGAATTATAATTAATACACTGCAGATAAATCACTCCGACATATCTTCATCAATAATATATATTTAAAATAATACATCTGTATATTTGAGCATCCTTTTCATGTTACTTTTATATATGAAAGAAACCTATTTTTGGAAAAAGTAAATATTCTATTAAATTTCTACAGAAAAATAGACTGAGAATGTCCATCATTAATATATTATGGAATTTTAGTTCCAAATCCATTTGATATTGCAAAATCCACGGCAAACAACACCCCAGATTTTAGCATTCAATTCTTATTGCTTCTCAACTCAAAATTAAATATGCTTTTAACACATAATAACATTCAACCAAAGAATGGACAATCCACAATATATTTAATTTTGCTTCTAAGTTATCAGAATTTTTTAACCATATCAGACAACTCACAGGTCTGTTTGGGATTATACAAGCACTGAGAGAATTGTAAATCATTATCAGACTATCTGCATTACATTGCTAAATCGATTAACTAGACCTACAGAGTATTCTGTAATAATATCAAGCAGTAAGTAAGCCATATTGTTCATATCCTAGTTTTAAACTGGCTGAACTTAAAGTTCAAGCTAATTCGTACAGAGTGCAAAAGAAAAGAATAATTTCTAGAATGATGGTGTTTCTGCCAGATAAAAGTTCTAGTGGATGGCATAATAACAATGTAACTCTATGTTACATCCAACTACATAGTTTAGCACCTTTTCTGCCAATTGAGGAGTCAAAAATCTACCTTTGATCTCCATCATAAATACTAATTATTATTTTTTTAAAAAGACTACTCTTAGTAGATATTGGGAAATCTAAGTGTTATGTCTGGGAATCAGAAATTCATAATACTCAACATTAATTGGAAAAGGCTGGAGTAAAGTATTGCTTAACTAAGTGCATTTTCTGCTCCTTGTTTCAAATTTTCCTTTAAGCCTGTGTTCAGCATCTTCAAGAGGAAATATTCAAACCTTGTAAAGTCTATGTCTGAGCAGCAGTAATTTCATTTATATTAATTATCCTTCGCAAACATGCTACTCATATGACTATCAGGTTAATACAAACACACTCACTCATGATCGCCAGTATTCAATGATGGATATGGTACAAGAAAAAGAAATATAAATATATTATATATTAGCAACTACTAATGAAGAATAAGGCTGCACGAGAATTTAATTTGGTAAGAGTATTGCCAAGATGCATATGATGGTGTGGAGAACAGCTCTTTAAATGAAAAGTATGAATACAAGCAAAAATAAGCATTTTCATTAATGAGGGTCATATGAAGCATGTAGGAGGACCAAATTGATAAAAACTTTCATGTACTATATGAAATAATAAAACTATAATTGCTTAAAATCTGAAAATTTAAGGTATTCCTTCAGATTCTGAGATCCTAAACTGTAACTTACTTACCTGGGAAGTTAATTTATCAGTATTAATGTTTATGCAAAATTGATTTTCTATCTGTCTGTCTGATGCTGACTCAATATAACCAACAATAATTAGTATTATACATACGTTAAATCTTCTAAATTGAAAAATAAATTTCCTATTCTTATCTCCTTAATAAAGTGTATTTAGAATCATTTTTGGTATCAAATGAAGCAGAATATAACTATATTGTCTGTTTAATAAACAAAATGGCTTTTGAATAACTGGCACACAGTTTAGTATCATTATTGCCCTCATAAAAGCTGTGCTTTTTTCTGCATGCATATATATTTAAGTATGGTTTCTGAATTATTGCATAAAACATGGAGGATTTATATCCTTCTGTGATTTTAGTGCTTCATATCTATGCGCGTGTGTGTCTGTGCATAGACACACACACACAGTTACACATATGGATGTGCACACATGCACTCATACAAAAATAACAGTGTTTCTTGCAAGATATTTCATACAGGAAGAACTATGGAAAATCACTTCCATCATAAATCACTGGTCGTTGAACAGATAGGTGGAAAAATACTTTTTTTGAGATAAACCTGTAAGAAAAACAACATTGGAAAATTAGTCGAAATTGTAAAATTAAGATCATCAAGGAGAAACAATGGAATTACAGGTAGTCTTGACTTACAATAATTAAATGTATTTTCTAAACTACAATGACACTGAACAAAAGTGATTTATGACTGTTTTTCACACATGTTGCAGCATCCCCATGATCAAAATTCAAATGCTTGGCAACTGGCATATATTTATGATGGTTGAAGTGTTCCAGGGTCATGTGATCAACTTTTGAGACATGACAAGCAAAGTCAACAGGGAAGCCAGATGTACTGAACAACCATGTTACTAACTTAACAACTGCAATGATTTACTTAACAATTGTGGCAAATGAGATTGTACAATAGAGTAAAATTCACTTAACTTAAAAAGAACTTAAAAAGAACTAAACAACTAAAATTAAATAAAGTTCAAATCTCTTTCTCTGAATTGGATCAATATGATCCAATCCATACATGGTTATTTTTTTCTTTATGGCAAAATTGCTTCATTCAATAGAATATCATAATATATAAAAGAGTAATGAAGAGCCAAATAAAATGACATTTTAGGACTTAGAGATGAACAATTAAAGCATCAACAATAAAAAAATAATTTTGACTAAGAAAAGAAAAATATTTCAACATTTTTAAAAAAAGATCATTGTGTATTAATTCTTTCTATGAGGTTTTAGAGGAACACAATTTCTATATTCACTCCACTCAGAATGAAATATCATATTTTTCAGAGTATAAGATGCTCTGAAGTATAAGACGCACCTAACTTTGGGGAGGGAAAGCAAGAAAAAAAAATCTGCCACTGCCTCTGTGCAATTTTCCTCCTTGCAGCAAACAACCTGGTCAGCTTCAGTACAGCGTGATTAGTACAAGCAGCTGATTGTTGGATCAGCCTCCCAATGATCAGCTGTTTCAAGCTGCAGGAATTGCCATCACCTATTGCATGTCCCATTTTCGGGCTCCACATCCCATTTTTGGCCTCCTTGTGCTCTGTTTTTGGCCTCTGCATGCCCCATTTCCCACCCATTCTGATCTCTGCTGCTCAGAACGGGCCAAAAATGGGGCATGTGGAGGCCGAAAATGGGACGTGAAAAGGCTGAACATGGGATATAGAGGCTGAAAATGGGGCTCATGGAGGTGGCAATAGGTGATGGCAATCCCTGCAGCCTGAAACAGCTGATCATTGGGGGGGCGATCCAACTGACAATCAGCTGCTTGTGCTAATTAGGTTGTTCTGAAGATGACCAGGCTGTTTGCTTCAAGGAGGAAAATTGGGCAGAGGCCAAAGGGTGGAGGTTGGCGGGGCTTCGGCAACGTTGACTGTATAAGATGCACATACATTTACTCATTTTCGGGGTGGGGGAAAGTGCGTCTTATACACCAAAAAATACGGTAAGTGATAATTTCTAAAATCTCCATAACATCACAACTATATAAAAAAATTCTCTGCTCTGTAGCACACCAACCTAGAAAAAGTGTTGTCAAAAATAAGTATGTAAATTCCAGCATTTCGTATTTTTACATTCCCTCTGATAGTTTCCTTATGAGAATTGCAGCGAGTCATGGGAATAAGAACCTGCAAAATATATCAGTATATCAGTCAGAAGGAACTTTGCCATTATTAACTTGGGGAATGAGTGAATGAATATGTTTTTAACCAGCCTGCCCATACAAATGCTTTCTTTATGTGTTGACCAAAGCTTCCATCACTATCAATTCATAATCAGCCACCAATTGATTGTGTATTTATTTATTAGATTTATATATCACACATTTCACTATCAAGTGACTTTGGGCAGCCTACAATATTCAGCGTACAATATAATTAAAATTATTTATAAAAAAGGGGTGTCAAATTCGCATTGTCATGGCAGTGTCACACGACGTATCAGGATTCCCCCCCCCTTTGCTAAACTGGGTGAGAGCGTGGCCAGTGCATGATGCATCTGGCTCACGGGGCATGAGTTTGACAGCCCTGATAAAATGTTAAATATTAAAGTTAACAAAATTAGCTAAGATAGGAACCAATATACAATAGGTAGAGATGAAATCTTTTTTTAACCCACCAACTACATTATGGAATGCCCCAGGCTAATTGGCAGAGTCAAGTTTTCAGGCTCTGAAATATTAATTGGGCCAAAATATTAATTGAAAGATACAGTAATGAGAAGGAAATAAAGACCAGAAGATTTTTCAGCAGCAACAATCTTGTGTTTGATACTAATAGGATAATGGATCAATCAGAGCTTCTTATGACAGGGATGGACAACTTAGGACTTAAATGCCCCCACATTTTTTAACCCCAGATCCTCTTCACGCATGGCAAATCCAAACAAAAATTAGCTATATTGTTACCTGCTATCTACAGATTACCCACTAAAACTATAGCATGTTATTTAATTATATTTTTGGGGCAGAGATTTAGAATGGTATAGCTCTGGTAACAAATAACAGGTTTTTAAAATTCAACTGATTTGTTCATAATTATATTATGTGCAATGTTTCCATGAAGAAGAACAATTCTGTATGAGGGCTAACTTACTTTGCATTGATCCAGAGAGGTTTCTTCTGATTGCTTGAACACGACACTGAATGATACGCTCTTTGGGTTTGATGAAAACACCCAACTTATTGTAAGGCCAGTTTCATCTACAGTGATTGGAATAATGCTGTAAGTATTTGACTTAATAAATAGTTCTCTGGTACCTTCTCCAAACTTTAAAATTTCCTCCACTGTGAGAGGCAGCTTTAGCCTGAAGACAACAAATTGCACAAAATGTAAAAACTCACTTCTTACTTGCAAGAACACTTGTTATAAATCAGTGTTGTAAAAAGAAACAATTGTTTAAGATTATTGTGCTTCTAGCCAATGGCAGTTTCTTCCAAATAACAAGAGGAAATAAGCTGGCTTACATCAATTCTCCTGACTTCAGCAAACAAATCTCTGCATCTTGGGTAATTTCCAAATCCTCAGATTCATCAACAATTGAGGAGCTATAGGTGCTGTTTCTGAGGACACAGAAAACCAGATTATCACAGTCAGATATTAGTCTCAAAATGTACACAGAAATCTGAAAATCCAGAATACATGATGGTTTATGATAAAATTAAATTAAAATTATTAAAATTAGCTAAGATAGGAACTAGAACCTATGGGAGATAGAGTGGTTATGGAGTGGAAGAGGCGGTTCTCTTGTTATTGTGTATGAAACGGATTATCTGGACCTCTTTCAGTCAGGATTCAGGCTCAGATATGGAATGGAAATAGCACTGATTATGCTATATGATGTCTTGGTGGGAGCAAGACAGGGATAGTTACAACAATTTTTTGCACGACTTGACCTCTCAGCAGCTTGTGATACCATTGATCATGGTATCCTTCTGGAATGGCTCTAGAGGCTGGATGTGGAGGGCACGGTGTTCTCCTGATTTACTTTCTTTCTTCAAACGTTCTCAGTTGGTGTTGATCAGAGGCAAGAGTCTAATCTCCAGTCTCTATTCGCAGTCTCAAGACTCAGATTCTGTAAATAGTTCTATAAACAGCCTGAAAATTCCTTTATTATTAGTGAAAAGATTCAGAGTTTGCCAGTTACACAAAGACAATAAATAAAACAATTAGAAAGATTGTAACTTATCCTGAGGGCATTGTGTATGCTTGGAAATGTTTCAGTTGCTGGAATCCTGATATTCTCAATCGAGCTGCTCCGAGCATCCAGAGAGTGGGAGGTGCTCTAGTCTTCACCAATAGCAGGCTGAGCTATAATTTGAGGAACGCTCCTCCCACCACGTGGCTTCTCCATGCGTTCCCCAGTTTGTAGCTCAGCCTCGCAAGAGACAGGCAGCTATAGATCATTCTCCTTGGCCGTTTCAGGATTTCTGTTTCACTTTCAGGTTTGATCGTTTCGTTTTTGGCTTCTTTCCTTGGTCCCTGCACTTTTGAGTTTTAGTTGTGTGTAAAGGAGCGAAGTTTCGCCCCTCAGGGGGGAGATAGAGGGGTTTTAGAGCCTTTGCTCCCCCCACCCCCCCTTCCCTCTTTCCTGCCTTTTCAAGCTGTTCCTGCTTTTAAGCAGAGGCTTGCTATCGTGCTCTCCTAGCACGCGTTGTGTCTTCCCCCCACGAACGCCTTTCCTAGCCCTCATTTGTCCAGCTCAATCTTTTTAGCTGACTGCCTTTTTCTTAGGGCTATTCCGTCTATGAGCCCTGCTTCCAGCCCTGTAGCCATTTTTAGGCGTGCCTCGTGGCGGGCGCCATTTTGTCCAGGCTCAAATTGCTGCGAAGTTGGTAGAGCCCCATAGCAGGCCCTACAGGCCTGTGGGAGCTTTTATTTCAGAAGGGGTGTTGTGGCCTTGTGCCCTGTTGCCCCATTTTAATTGTTGGCATTCCGCAGCCTGCTCAGAGGTGAAGACAGGCACCTACATCCCAGGTTGTTGGGAGGCAGCCTCAGAAGCCTTTACAATTTCTTTCCTGGTATATTTTTTCATGTTTTAAGTTTGGCCTCAGCATTCATTTGGTTAAATTTGGTTGTTTAGAGATAGCTTTCTCATCTTAATTTTTCCCTAATTAAAAAAAAAACAAAAAAACCCCAAACCATTTATATTTTATTAATAATTTAGTTCCTTTTTTGGTCATTTGGTGCAGTTTTTTATTGTATACCCTTAGAGGTGTTTTTTTCCTTTTTCCAAAATAATAAAATAAAAATAAATAAAAAATAAAAAAAATAATAAAAAATAAAAAATCATAAATAAATATATCTAAAAAAATTTCCAAAAGGGGGACGTGGCTCATCTGTAGGATACCCGGCTCCCATTGTGGACCGCATTCCTAGGCGTGCCAACCGCCTTCATATTCAATATACCTTGTTTCTACCTTTTGGTTATAATGGCAGAGGAAAATCCCAGAGGGCCTTCCCTAAAGGCTAAGTCTAAAACTCACCATCTGCGCAAAAGGGCCAAGGAACCTACCACAGCCTCTGAAAGGGACGCCCTGAGGCGCCACAGAGCTCTGGAAAAGGAGTTTGATAGGCGCTCCAGGGACTCTCATTCTGTAATTCCTCTACCTCTAACCAACCTCCCCCTTTGCCAGAACACCTTCTCTCTCCAGGCACAACACACCTGTCCAGAGCCCCCGGGCCACTCGAACTCCAGAGGAGACCTTCACCCCAACCGCTGCTGGCCTACGCCCAGAAGACCCTTCAACTAGCATCATCCCTGACAGCGTTAAGGAATGGATGCAGCTTGCCATCCGCCAGGGGATCGCGGAAGGTATGCAACAGTTGTCCAAGACAGCAATGGCACCCGAGATTGATTCTGCCTCCGGAGAACCTCTACCCAGACCGGTGACTCTCCACAGACAGGTACCTTCCCAAGGGGACCCTCCTTTCCCAGAAGGGGAGGAAGAGGAGGACGAGGAAGAGGAAATGGCCTTTGCACCCTACGGGGCAGAGGAAGGGTCAGAGAGGGGGTCCCTCCATTATTCTGAGCCCTTTTCCGAAGTGGAACAGCTGGAAGGGGACATGTCGGAGGATGAGGGCATCTCCCCCGACCAGCCCTCCCTTGTAGGCCTGTTCAAGCCTCATTTATTTAAGTCCTTGCTGTTCAAAGCAAAGAATATCTCAGGCCTAACTCCCCAGCCATCTTCTGATTCCTCGCCAGCAGCCTCTGGGGCTCCAGAGGATGCCATTTTCAGGCAGCCAGCGGTGGAGGCCTAAGTTGTGCCAGTCCCTCCAATCTTCTCCGATCTAGTGGCGAAACAGTTAGCCTCTTCCGGTCTCCCCTCCGCCCCCTCAGGGCAGGACAAGAGATTTTTTAATCTCGACGCAGACTTCTCCACCATGCTAAACACCCCCGAGGTGGATGACCCTATTATCAGACTGGCATCCTCGTCTAACCCCACAGACGCTCTGGAAGCCTTAAGGCCGGAGGACAAGAAAGCGGAGATGGCGCTGCGACGGGCGCACCAGTTTGATGCTTGGGCCATTCGGTCTGCCACCGCCTCATCCTTTTTTACTAGGTCGTCTATTAGGTGGCTTTGACAGCTGAAGCAGCATGTTCCTCCATCTAATACTAGGGCACATCAAGATATTGCAAAACTAACAGCAGCAGCTGAGTTTGCGGCTGATGCAAAATTTCACTCGGTGAAGTTCTCCTCTCGGGCCATATCCTCTCATGTTACGGCCCGACGGCTGCTTTGGCTTAGGCATTGGCAGGCCGACATTAAAAACAAGTCGAAACTGGCCTCAGCTCCCATCTCCGGAAATAAATTATTTGGTCCGGCCCTGGAACCATTGTTGATGGAGAGCCGGAACAAAAAGAAATTTCTTCCAGCTCTTTTTCATAGGCAAGAGTCCAGATCCTTTCAGCCCTTTCAAAGGGGCTCCTTCCCTACCCCCTTTCAAACTCCCTTCTCCCCCCGTTATCAGAGATCTCCAACCTTTTGCCCGGCCTATCGAGACCGGGGCGATTCAGGAGACAGATCCAGAGGGGGGGGGTAGTTACAGAAGACCCTTCCAGGGTTCGGCAGGTAAGACTCCCTGCCGTCCAAGATAGGATCTACGTCTGATGCTTGGGTTAAAGACACGGTCCAATTTGGTTTTTCCCTTCAGTTCCAAGTCACTCCACCCGAACACTTCATGGTTTCTCCCATTCCAGGGATCATACCAAGCGTGCTCTCCTAGAGACCGCCATTAAACATCTGTTGGATATTAAGGCCATACAGCCCGTGCCACCTTCTCAACGAGGAGAGGGATTCTATTCCCTCCCCTTTTCTAGTCCCTAAGCACTCTGGGGGTTGGAGGCCCATTTTGGATTTAAAAAGGCTCAATCGTTATATTGTTCATCATAAATTCAAAATGCATACCCTTCAGTCCATCCTACAGGGCACCAGGGAAGGAGACTGGCTCACTTCCATTGACCTCTCTGAGGCATATCTTCACATACCCATTCACCCTTCCTTTTCTAGATATCTGAGATTTTATTACAATGGCTGTCATTATCATTATGTAGCCCTTCCCTTTGGGTTAGCCTTGGCTCCCAGGACCTTCACCAAGGTTTTGGCAGCCTTAGCAGCTCACCTCAGACAAGTCCCTGTCCGTATTTGCTGCTATCTTGACGACATTCTCATTCTTTCTCCAACCCAAAGCCAAGCTGAGCGGGACACCAGAACCACTCTTTCAGTACTTCAGGATCATGGTTTCCTTGTAAATTGGGAAAAGAGCCAGCTTACCCCTTCCACTCGAATAGTTCATTTAGGGGCGGTGATTGATTCAGTTGAGAGAAAGGTTTTCCTCTCCCCGGAAAGGTTTGCTAGCATTCAAAATTCGATTAAGGCCATCAGGCGGGCAAAGAAAGCTTCATTGCTGGACCTATCTAAATTGCTTGGGAAAAGGATCTCATGTATATCCATTGTTCCCCGGGCCCGATTTCATTCCAGGTCCCTTCAATGGTTCCTGCTACCTTATCAACACTCAAGAAGGAGCAATTCAAGATTCATAGTAAGGATCCCTCCAAAGGTTCTCACCTCGCTACTCTGGTGGACCAGAACCACTACCAACAAAGGGCATCCGTTCAAAGAACCCCAGAGAGTCACCCTCACAACAGACGCCAGCCTAACAGGTTGGGGGGCCCACCTTCGTTCGCTGTCAGCTCAAGGAACCTGGTCAGTAAACGAGCGCTCTTGCAGCATAAATTGGTTAGAGCTCCACGCAGTATATCTGGCATTACGCACCTTTCTTCCTCAAGTTCGAGGGCGTCACGTCTTGGTCTTGATGGACAACACTATGACCAAGGCCCACATCAACCGGCAGGGGGGCACTCACTCCATCAGACTCATGAAAGAGGCCGAATGGATCTGTCGATGGGCGGAGGCCAATCGGCTATCCATAAAGGCAGAGCACATCTCAGGGGTCTCCAATGTTCAGGCAGACTGGTTGAGCAGAACCGTCGCCGACCAGTCCGAATGGCGTCTGCATCCCTCCCCTTTCCGGGAGGCCTCAGGGAGGTTCGGGTTTCCGC